CCCCATTCCACTTTCCTCCTCTCAGGATTCCTCACACCTGACTCCCCTGGATCGCCGTTTCCACCTCCATACGAAGACTACCTCCCCACAGATCTCGACGCACTCATACTCCATTCATCAGGGACTACTGGGCTTCCAAAAGCGATAGACCACTCCCACGCGTTCTTACTCCTCTTCGCGTCTGCGCATCGTTTTGAGGAGAAGATGGGGGAGGGGTATAGCGTTGTTACGTCGCCTTTGTATCATGTTCGTTGGCTGCTTTAAAGATATCGAGCTGACGAAGCTAAACGGATGGAAATCAAATAGGAGGGTTTCGGGCTCCTCGCACCCCTCCTATCTCTATCCATAAACCTCCCATTTGTCCATCCCCCCTCTGGCATCATACCCACCCCCCTTTCCACCCTCCATACCATCCACTCAACCAACGCCCGCTATTTGTTTACGGTACCGTGTATTATTGAAGATATTTTTTGCCTCCCCGATGACGTGGGGTTGGAGGCGTTGAAGAAATCGGACATCGTCGTTGGCGGTGCGCCTTTGAAATACCTTGTTGGGAGACGGATGGCGGAGGAAGGTGTTAGGGTTTTAAATCATTGGGGTGGGTAATTTTAGTTGTCGTTGCCGCCTCCCACCAAATCGTGATTTTTTCTTTCGAAGGTGCTTATGAGACAGGACCCATCACGCCTATAGAAAACGTCAAAAAGAGTGTTTTTGGACGATGGCAGTGGCAAACAAAGACAGCGTTATATTTACAACGGAATATTCAAATTCAATGCAGGCTGGTGGAAAAGTTGAATGTTACTTGTATGTTGCTAGACAGCCATGGAAAGTACTTGCTCGGAATCTCGTTTACCTGTTCCTGTAAGGCGGCTCCAGAGAAGAGCGGTATGAAAGCAGAGATTTCGATGGTGAGTGAAACGGTGCGAAGCTTGGGGAAACCACGAGATAGTACAGCATCGAATCTTCCCCATTCACTTCCGGTTTTACACCGACAGTCGGTTTCAACGTAGACGTCCAGGAATATTTCTTCAATCACGTTGCACCCCGAAATAATGCTAAATTCCTCGCAGATTCCGCAGAGGGGGTCTTGAATATCATCTTTGATTTCGTGCTGAAGGTGCAATGTCCTCAACATTGAGAGAGATGACGCGTTTATCGATGAGGCGAAAGCTGTGTATCCCTGGGTCATTCCAGCTAAAATCATGAGTGAGGCATAATATATATGCAGTAGGGGTCCCCGTACGCACTTGCGTATTTCAAAGTTTCAAGCTGCTGTGTGGCCCTAATCAATGCTTGGATTGCCATCAAATCCTGCTCTCTATCCGCCTCGACGCTCAACATTCGAACTTTACTGAAGTCTAGAACAGGAACGCCATTGGGACGTCTGGCGTTGAGAAGGTGCATTGCATATGAACCACGGTCCAGACTGGAAGCAAATGACTGAAGCTGTGGGGCGGCTTCCGATGCAGAAATATCTTCCTCATGGCTTACCGCCATAGTAGGTTTTGTGATGTAGTTCAAGCTGAGGTCGGCTAGATTCATGCAAGGAAAGAATACGGTGGTTGGGAAATCATGGATGTCTGATATAGCCAAGCGGGACAGAGAGGGCAATTGGATTAGATGCAATAAGGCATCTCGAAGCGGTTGGCGTAATGCATTCCACATGACTGCAGTGATAGGGTCACCAATTACCAGCTCGAAAGATTGAAGATGGTGGAGCTTTCCCAGTACCCGGGGCACATCATCAGCTTCAAAGTCAGGCGAACACATGTGGAATACGAAATTCCGAACCAAATCTGAAATTCCTGGATTGTTGCTGAGAAGAATTCCGAATAATCTAATGATGCGTGGACGGCTTCTTTGTGGGTAGGAACGAGTGGTGATGCGGATGGATCGAAAGATGTATTTGCGACACAATGGTAGGAGCAATGAGCAGGTCTGAGAGCATGCCTCCAGAGCGGCGATATCGTCCTGAAGAGCGCTGATTATCTCTGCGATAATTTCCGAAGGTGAGTCGGAGAAAGACGCCATTGACTGTTGTGGTGGGAACTTGGAAGGAGTGGTTGGGCAAAGATTTCGGCAGATCTTCCCACGATTGACTTTTGGAATGACTTGCCTACTTTCGGGAGAAGATCCAAGTAAGTAGCGTTTTTATGACTCATGTGCATGAGGCCTGAAGTCAGTGATAAGCCAAAGGGCCTGTTCCAATTTCTGGCGCTCTAATTAGCCAACTTGGACCGGGGGTTTGAACACCGGCGCTTAGAGGCGGAACGTCCGGACGCCGCGTTTTGAGCAGCTGAAGTTCCATTTCAAGGTGCAATGAATTTCCACTTTGCTTGATGGGTTTTGACGGAGTGTCTAACTGTTCAACGTTCAGTGGTAACGAGGATGGCGAGAAGACATCCGGAACAGTTAACCTTCTGCCGAACCTCCACACCTGCCACCTACAACTCGACGCGCAGAATCGATGACTGTCTACTACACTGGTACGCTTCTTTTCATACAGTAATCTTTACTGTTCATTGCGTCATTTTGATCAAGCACCTCCAGGCCATATAACTAACCATTACCATCGTTATACTAACCTATCCATCATGCCCCCACTCTCCCCCTTCATCTGCCCATGCCTCAACCTTGCGTCCTCCAATGACGACCGTCCATTCATATCCTCCCTCCCGCAGCTAATCACATTCGCAGCCCAGCACAATCCCCACCATACATTCGCCCTCCAACTCCGCACCTCGGACTCACCTCGATGCGAACTTTCCTTTGTGCAGGTCGGGGAAATGGTGGAACGTGCGTCGGCGTGGCTCATCTCATCAGGTACGACCACAGGCAGGGAGAGGAGGGAAAAGAAAGTAGGCTGCGTAGCGATGTTTTTGGCGAGTGATGTTGGGTTGTTTGTATATCTGAGTGCGTTATTGCGGATTGGTGTGCCGGTGGGTTTTCTTTTCTTCTCTCGTTCTGTTTACTAAATGATGATGTAAAAA